ATTTCACCTTAGGCGCAAAAGATTCCCACTTTCCCCATCTCCTGCAATATAACCCCATCTTGTCTTCTTGCATATAATACAGTTTCTCCATCCTGCTTATCTGAATCACTCTCTCCACCCAATCCTCTTCTCTCGGCACCTCAGGACTATGCCAAAACTAGGTATCAGACCCTTTGCCGCATTCAGGCAGTACCAAATACCCGAATCCTTGTATTTGTTCACTGATAGCTCTGTACTATGCAACAGACACAACTCTGGATCCAATCCTATCTTTATCCCCGAAATTATCCCAAATAAATGAACCACTGTCTTCCAAAAACCTTGTATCTTTGGGCACTCCCACCATATGTGATATAACGTACCTATCCCTCCACACCCCTGCCAACACTCTGGTGTATTCTCCCCATACATCTTATATTCAACATTCGGTGCAATGTGCCATCTTGTTAAACACTTATAGTTTACCTCCACCTCTCTCATGCTTACATTCTCATGTGTTAATCTATATATTTTCCTCTGTTTTTCTTCATCTATCTCTATTCCCAATTTCCTTTCCCATTTTCCTATATACATTGGTTTTGTGTGTGTGTGTCTAAATCAGTGAGAATCTTATAAACTTTTGCCGTGCCCCGTTTCCATCTCCATGTGATTCCAACAACCTCTCAAACAAATTCCAATCCTTTCTCAATCTCAACGGTTTCGGAAGACTCCCAACAAAGTGTTTCAATTGATGATATCTCCACTCTTCTATCTTACTGAAAAAGCTCCCTTTTGTCCTTTTTCAAATCCTTAAGTGTTCTCAATTTCTGCCCTTCCATAATATCCCTCAGTTGAATATCCTCCTTTTTAAACCATTTTCCTGTGCTCTCCTCCCTACCTGGAGGGAAATACTCCGTGTTCCTCAGTGACATTAATTGTGAATTAAAATCCCATTTCATAAACTTGTGCAATTTATCCCAAACCTTTAAAACATTTAATGTATAAACACTCGTGGTATCTTTTAATCCTCTATATTGTGCTGGTTCCCATATGACTTTACTCAAGTTAACTCCGCTTAATTCATTTTCAATCTTAACCCATCTTTTCCCTCTGGATTGTGTGTCCAGTCATAAATTCTTGCTAAAAACCACTGCTCTATAATACCTCTTAAAATCCGGCACTCCTAATCCTCCCCTCTCTTTATTTCTACTCATCAACTCATAAGATATTCTGGGTTTTTTTATTTTTCTATATTTATCTTGTTAACATCTTTTTAATTACCTTGAAAAAGACCTCCAGAAGTTCAACTGGGATCATCTGGAATTTATATAGGATTTTAGGTACAATTACCATTTTTATCAGGTTTATGCGCCCTATCCAAGACGGGTTACCTCCACCCAATTTCTTTAGTTCCTCCTTAATCTCGTTTAAAAGTGAGATATAATTTGATTTATACAAGTTCGTATATATAGAAGTGAGTTTAATCCCTAGATATTTTATTTCTCTATCCTTCCATATAAAAGGGAATTCTTTTTGTACTTTTTCTTTTTCACTATTTGGAAGATTTATATTTAAGATCTCAGTTTTTGTTGGGTTGATTTTCAAGTTTGATAGCTCCCCATAATCCTTTGAGCTCTTCATTAAATTTGGGAGTGTTATCCTAGGATTTCCCACATAGAACAGCAGGTCGTCGGCAAAGGCTGCCACTTTTTGTTCCATACCTCCTATCTGTATTCCTTTTATGTCCGTATTTTCCTAATTGTTGCCAATAAAGGTTCCAATGATAATACAAACAACAATGGGGACAGTGGGCATCCCTGTCTTGTTCCATTTGACATCCCAATAGGTTCCGACTTCTCCCCATTAACCAAAATAACCGCGGATGGCTCGCTATACGATTTTCCTATCCACTCTCTCATTCTACCTCCCAATCCTAAAATCTCCAGAGTGTCCATCATAAAACTCCAATCTACTCTATCGAATGCCTTTTCGGCATCGATTGAAAGCACTACTGCCGGAGTTTTTCCCTTCCTAGCTTTCTGGATAAGCAACAGGGTTCTCAACCCATTGTCTCTACCCTCCCTCCCTGGTACAAATCCTACCTGGTCACCCTGTATCCATTCTGGTATTAAATCTTTCAACCTATTTGCCAAAACCTTTGCATAAATTTTAGTGTCTATGTTCAAAAGTGAGATTGGTCTATAGCTAGAGCACTGAGAAGCATCTTTCCCCTCCTTTTGAATAGGTACCACATGGGCCTTTAAGGATTCTCGCCTCATCTCCATCTCCCCACCCAGGGTGTTCATATATTTCTTCAATTTAGGTATTAACAATTCACTATGTTTTTTTATAGTACCTCGCAGTATAACCATCTGGGCCTGGGCTTTTTCCCATCATGGTATCTTTTAATGCTATTTTTATTTCCTCTTGCGTAATTTCTGAATCCAGGGAATTCAGTTGTTCTTCACTTAGCTTCGGTAGTGCTGCATTTTTTAGATATACCCTTCTTTTTTTCTCTACTCGTATCTCCACTTTTATTTACTGAATCCTGGGAAGTAATATTATACAGCTTGTTATAATATTCTTTAAACACCTTGGCGATCTCTTTAGTAGAATAAACTGTTTCTCCCCTGGGGTTTCTTATTTTTTCTATATAATTCCTGTTTTTCTTTTTCCTCAAGGCTCTCATTAAATATTTTCCTGGTCTATCTCCCCATCTATACCTCTCACGTGCCACTTTATTGAAGACTCTTCTCCTCTCCTCTTCCATCAGTATCTCTAGTTCTTCTTTCTTTTTTGTTATCTTCTGTGTTATCTCTTTTCTTTATGCTATTTTTATGTATCTGCTCCAGGTCAAATATTTCTTTTAACAACCCAGTAAGTTTTTCGCTTCTCTCCCTTTTCTCTTTTGCCCCAGACGCGATCAATATACCTCTTATGTAGGCCTTATGGGACTCCCATACCGTAGCCACCGACACTTCCCCTGTCTCATTCTCCTGGAAGAATCTTTCAATCGCTTCCCTAATCCTCTGGTCGATCTCCTGATCCAGGAGAAGAGCCTCGTTCAACTTCCATCCTATACCTCCTGTCAACCTCTTCCCCATCCCAATTTCATTATAACATGGGCATGATCTGAGAGAGTCATTGCTTCAATTTTAACTTTAGCCACCCTCTCGATAAGTTGATGGTCAACCAATATATAGTCCAATCTCGAGTACATCTTATGTACATTAGAGAAGAAAGTATAGTCTCTTTCCTTTCCATGTATTATTCTCCAAATATCCACCAGTTGGCACTCATACATCCCCTTCTTTAAAATTCTCAGAGACCTACTTCCCTCTCGCTGTACAGAAAGAGGTCGTATCCATTTGTGCATCCATGCAGAAATTCAAATCCCCTGCCACTATCAAACGTCCCTTTTTAAAGGCCATCAGTTTTCTCAAAACACCTTTCAGATATACCTCCGGTCTCTTATTTGGGCAATAAATATTTGCAATTGTACATTCCATCTCTTGCAATCTACCTTTCAAAAACAAAAATCTCCCCTCAGGATCTATTTCTCTCTCTTCCAACTCCCACCTTATGTTTTTTACAAACCCTATTGCTACTCCCTTAGCTCTCTTAGTTGGAGAATCTGCATAAAACCATGTTGGAAATTTCTAGAATTCAGCTTGATATTTGACTTAATCTCAAAATGTGTCTCCTGCAAAAAGACCACCGAAGCTTCTCTATGTTGCAACTCTTTGAATAGCTTAAATCTCTTCCCAGGACAATTCAACCCATTTACATTATATGTTATAAATCGTAAATCTTCCATACTTCTTTTATCCCCTTTTTTCTGCTCAATTTCCTCTTTTCCATCCACCCTTAATTCTCTTATACTTCCCTTCCATATGCAGAGTGTTAACTTTAATACCCCCTCCCCGTTCCCTCCTTCCCTCCCACCCACTTTGCTCCCTTCCCATCCCACTCCCCTCCCCACTTCTCCCAGTACCCTCCCTCCCATTACCTCTCTCCCCACCCCTCCCCCCCCCCCTCCCCCTCCCCCACCTCACCCCTCCCTTTTTTAGGCTTGCAATTTGCCTATTAATCTTTTGGGGGTCCAAATCCACCATAGATTTACCACCTTGGGGTTGAACTCTACCCATGAATGGCCTCCCCTACTTCCCACCCCCCAGATACCCCTAATCTATCTAATATATTCAGTGCGGTTCCAACAAGTCTTAAGACCCCAAAAGAAGGAAAAAAGGAGAGAGGGATAGATGAGGGAGGAGAAAAACCTCCCCAATTATCCTTCAACTATGTATTCAGTCCTGTAAACTTTCACCGTACCCATAAAAATGGATTTCCAAAAGAAACACCATAGGGAGGAAGAGGTCAAGAGGGGAGGGAAAAAAAAACTCACATCCCCCTACTCCTCCTTACTTCTCCCTTCTAACAGTCTGCCAATCCTCCTTTCCCTCACCTCCTATTACTCCCTCTTTCTCCCACCCAGTAATCTCCACTCTATGCAAGTCCAGTCTATCGCAGAAGTCTCTCAAGTCCTCAGGGTATCTCAAGTAAGCTGTAACTCCATTCTTCCATCCGATTAAACAGAACAGATTATTATTCTGTCCCATTACTTTTGGTCCCTTAAAAAGTGGGAGGCATATATGCAAACTGTTGTAATTCCTACACCGTTCACCTGATTTGGATGTAAATACCCTCAAATTAAAGCTGACAGTCTGCAGTTAAAGCACATCTTGTTTGTTTCATTTCAAATCCATTGTCGTGGTGTATAGAGCCAAAAATGTTAGAATTGTGTCGATGTCCCAATATTTATGGACCTGACTGTATTTGGTACTGTCACTGAGATGGCAATGAAATATACCGTATATTCTGGTGAACATGCTTTGTTTCTAAAGTGGTTTATAAATTCTAAAGGGTTGAATGAGGCTGAGCAGCCCAGTAATGCTTTTCTACTATACCAGCTCTGGCAGATTGCAGATCCATATATATGATGATCCCATTTTTTTTACTAGGAATTCGCGTGATCAGTAATGCAGGAGGAACCAACCCCCTGGCCTGTGGTGCTGCTTTACAAGAAATAATAAAAAAGTCAGATCTGGATATGAAAATTGCTGTTGTTACTGGTGATGATTTAATAAAGCAGGTGAGCAGTTACATTTCTAGCAAAAACAGTTGCTGCAATTCATTATGAATAGTATTTTACTGCACAAATCCCACTGACCTCCATTAAACTGTAGACACAGTAGTGAACATTGCTGTTTTTTATTAGGACCAAGCAAGCTTTCTTTTGGTGATATTGTCTTACTGTAAAAAAAAAATGCTAAAGTATGAATTGCTGCTGATCGCGTTGATCTCAAGTGTAATGCTTTGCAGGCTGCTTAGAAAAAAAAAAATAAATAAATGCACATTTTTTTACTTGCAAAAAGTTAATTTTTTATTTATTTATTTTCAAAAAAGTGAACCTATCCTTTGAATAGGAGTAGTGTACTCATATTTCCTGATACATGACAGACCTATACAGTTTCTGTCCACAATGATGAGTTAGGTATAGCATTAGGAGTTTTTATCTAAAAATTTGGGGGATTTTATGTAATACAAATTTTGTTTTATATTTTACCCTTTGTATGTTCACAGAAAGATGCCTTCAAGACAGGAGGAATCACTGACATGGATAGTGGGAAGCCGTTCCCAGAACATATTCAGAGTGTGAATGCTTACCTGGGGTAACTAAATTTCCTCTGAACTTTCCGCCTTTTCCCAGATTATGTGTATGTTGCAAATATTGTATTCAGTTATATAGCTTTGATATATTCTGCTGTGCTTTGTAGAAAATCAGCCATATCAAACCTTGCTCCCACATGGGTCTTCCAATCTACTGACACTCACCCACTCACGCTCCCTCCTCTTTTTCCCAAGAGCCACAACGGACTGATATCATTTTTCATACATGTATGTTTTCGGATTGTCAGAGCACACCCTTGCAGACATTGTTATGAAATACTTCAAAAATGGACCTCGCTAAGGTCACAAATGACCAAATAAATTGTGCAATCTTTGAAGTGATAACAATGAGCAAATTTCAAATACAATATTAATATTCAGTCCCAACATGTGAATAATTGGTGCAATGGTGCTGTATCTTTAACCACCTCCCGCCCGCCATATAGTCCAATGACGGGCGCAAGGTGGTTCTCTTGTTCTGATAGGACATCATATGATGTCCTGCCATTTTCACCACGCATGCGCGGCTCAGGGAGCACGCAGCGCGGCGATCGGCGGTGCTCTGTGTCCCTCGGACACAGGGGATCACCGATCACGGAAAGAGCCAAAGATGTCGGCTCGGTGATCAGCTGTGTCCAATCACAGCTGATCACATGTAAACAGGGGAATGCCGGTTATCGGCATTTCTCTCCTCTCGAGCTGTCACACTCATGAGAAAGGGGGGCTGAGGACATTCATGGGGTGCTGGGACATTAATGGAGAAGGGGCAGAGGTCATTAATGGAGGGGGGAGTTGAGGACATTCATGGAGGGGGGACTGAGGTCATTAATGAAGGGAGAGGCTGAGGACATTAATGGGGGAACAGAAGATGTTAATGGAGGGGAGGCTGAGGAATTTAATGGGGGAGCTGGGGACATTGGTGGAGGGGAGGGCCTGAGGTCTTTAATGAGGGGGGAGTGAGAACATTAATGGGGGGCTGAGGACCTTAATGGGGGTGGATGAGATCATTAATAGAGGGAGGGGAGGGGGGGCTGGGAACACTAATGAAGGTGGGAGCTGAGGACATTAATGGAGGGGACTTGAGGACATTAATAGGGGTGCTGAAGACATTAATAGACGGCGCGGGCTGAGGACATGAATGGGGGAGGTGAGGATGCTATTGGAGGGGGGGCTGAGGACATTAATGGAGGGGGGGCTGAGGTCAATAATGCATGGGGGGCTGAGGTCATTTATGGGGGGGGGGGGACTGAGGCCAATAATCCACATTTGTACACACCTTCATTTTAATGGGCTGCCCTACCTACAAGAAACGCAGAGAAAAATGTCCCAACCCTTTTTTTGTAAAATTGCACACACCAAACCGCATGGTGCTGCAGCACCATGTGGTTTGGCATGCAATAAAATGTGCGTAGGTGCTGCTGTGTGGGGGTACTATTAGGAGGTCAGTGTGTGATAGCTCCAAGCCACAGTCAGTCACTCTGTGGGGGGTCACTGATGTAAGGGGGGACACTGATATAATGGTTCCTTTTATAAGCGCATCCTCACTCCCCTTTACATCAGTGAACCCCCTTACCTTAGTGTATTCACTCTGCAGACTCTGCTGTAAAGGGGAACTCTGATGTAAGAGGTTCTCTGGTCACCAGAGCTCTAGCATCCCTTCTTACATCAGAATCAGCAGAGTTCACCCTTACAGTGCAAGGGGACACTTTGCAGACTCTAAGTTAAGGAGAAATTCTGCAAACTCTGATCTATGGGGGGCTCTGGTGACAAGAGAATCTCTTACATCAGTGTTCCCTTTTACACCAGAGTCTGCTGCATTCCCCCTTACATCAGGGTCCACAGTGTTCCCCTTTACATCAGGGTCCACAGAGTTCCCCTTTACATCAAGATCAGCAGAGTTCCCCCCTTGCACTGTAAAGTTGAACTCTGGTATACAATATCAGAGAACCTTTTATAAAGAGGTCTCTGGGGATGCTGGGACCTCTGATGTAAGGGGGAACTTTAATGTAAGGGCAAGAAATGGGCCACTGCAGAACATGAAAAGGGTCCCGCTATAGGACTGCAATAAAGGGCCCCGCTATGGGAGTAATGAGGCTTTAGATACCCTTTTAGAAAACAGTACACAATAAGGCATGATACCACACACTGAAAACAGATTTTAGGGTGTGCATACGTTTTACCAATGTATGTGTTATTTTTACATTGATTCCCAAAACCTATAACTCTTCCTAAGGATATTAGATAAAAAAAATAAATATAATAGTTTTGTGAGAAGGAATGTTATATATACAAATTAGTAAAATACTTTCCTATTTGACTGTCCTATTTAGTGTGATTTGTATTGACCTCTGTGCACATAAGTGCTGACAATCCAGTAAGATGTGCTGAATCCAAGGTCAGTGCTGTATTTGTACATCTTTTCTTGAGAGGGAGAGGGCTTGATAATAGCAATTAAAATGAATCTGTGAATATAGAAATGTGGGCGCTGTCACTGCTGAGATTGTTTTAGGCTCCCAAGCTGTCATCCTGATGCTGTATTCACTGCCTTCAGTCACTGGACTGGAATTAGCATGAAGTCCGTGACGTCAAAAAGTCTGAGCAAGAATCAAGCTGACAGCTCTGGATCCAACATGTTTTAAAAAGCAAGTTACTAATTGCAGCCCTTTCTCTCTTCATGGGTTATCTTTAATTTGCTAAAATTTCATGGGCTTTGAGGGTGAAAATAGATCACTGTGCAATGAAACACATACATAATTATAACACCTTGTATAGTTGGTTTAATCTATTTCAATCTACATTACATTTTTGATGGGGTCATGCTAACCATGTGTTTCATGACTATATTAAGGACATTTTCTGGAACTGTGAAAAATGGCAGGCAATTTAGTCAATCTCCAGTGGTGCAGATCCATGTGTGTATGCCTCCTGTTCTTCTCTGTATTTCTTAGTTACCCTGTTTTATATTATGGAAGAAGCTTATTGACAGAACATTTTCCATCTTTGCAGGGCAAGACCAATTAGCAGGGCTCTGGACCTTGGGGCAGACATTGTCATTACTGGAAGATGTGTGGACAGCAGCCTCGTCTTGGGACCACTAATACACACTGTATGTGTACTGTGTTCCTTTATTATATAATTAACAATATAAAAAGTGGGAGAACTTTTCAAGAAATAACTTTTGGGGCTCGTTCATATATGCAGTGCATTTTGAAGAGTGATCCACACACGCGGTGAGGAGGCATTGTGTCATGTGTGCCCAGTACTAGTGCATTGCAGGGAGCTTTCAGAGTGGCCCCATTCAAATGGGTTAGGTTCTGCAAGTGCTACACCTGTAGAAAATGACAGGAGATACAATTCTTGCCACAATTTGTACACCCCTGTTCACTGCCTCTGCAGTTAAAGGGTGTAGCAGTTGGGGGCCAGCAAAAGCACAGCTGAACCACCCCCTTCCCCAACCTTACGTGTGAACGAGCCCTTACTGTTGCATTGCTCTGTTACAATTAGTAATGCATGAGTAATTACTCAGTATATTAACATCACCAACAGCATTCAGTGTTACGAACAGCACTAAAGTCACAAACTCTTCATTATTTATTTTTTATTACAGGTACACTATATTGCCAAAAGTATTGGGACACCCCTCCAAATCATTGGATTCAGGTGTTCCAATCACTTCCATGGCCACAGGTGTATAAAATCAAGCACCTAGGCATGCAGACTACTTCTACAAACATTTGTGAAAGAATGGGTTACTCCCAGGAACTCAGTGAATTTAAGTGTGGTACTGTGATAGGTTGCCACCGTGCAATAAGGCCATCCATGCAATGTCCTTGCTACTAAATATACCACAGTCAACTGTTAGTGGTATTATAGCAAAGTGGATAGTGCGCAGAGAGCTTCATGAAATGGGTTTCCATGGCCGAGCCTTATATCACCAAGTGCAATGCAAAGCATCGGAAGCAGTGGTGTAAAGCACGCTGCCACTGGACTCTAAAGCAGTGGAGAAGTGTTCTCAGGAGTGACAAATCATGCTTCTGTCTGGCAATCCAATGAACGTGTCTGGGTTTAGCTCTTGCCAGGTAAACGGTACTTGCCAAGTACTTGCCAAGTGTAAACTTTGGTGGAGGGGGGATTATGGTGTGGGGTTATTTTTCAGGGGCTGGGCTTGGCCCCTTAGTTCCAGTGAAGGGAACTCTTAAGGCATCAGCACACCAAGGTATTTTGGACAATCTCATGCTCCCAACTTTGTGGGAACAGTTTGGGAATGGCCCCTTCGTGTTCCAACATGACTGTTGCAGTTAGAGTAAAATGAAAATGTATCCTTAGTAAAATGCAAAGTCTGTATACCCACTCTCTGTTTGGACTCAGTAATAGAGTTTAGCCCCAATAAATGCTATCTTTAAATGATGGCAGTGAGCTGTTAACTATAAGGGCTTGTTTAGTTTCCTTAATGGGAAAGTTACTTTTAAAATATAAGTTCCACGAGCAGGGCCCTCCTATTGCTTTTGTACTGAAATGTATTGTAATTGTCTCCCTTTCTATTGTAAAGCGCTGCGCAAACTGTTGGTGCTATATAAATCCTGTATAATAATAAGAACATAAATCACAGTTAGAAAAAAAAACAAATGTACCAAATATGCCCACAAGGTGGTGGTATGGCATCACATGCATTGTCTGAATTATTTTACCACCCAGGGAACATGTAAGGAATCATAAGAATATCATGGAGCATTCATAACTTTTTCAAGCCCAAAATAAGTTAAAAGAACCCATCCCAAACAACTCATCAGACCTTCAACACCTAAAGTGTATATAATCCAAAGAGCAAAAAAAAATTATGTATTGCAGCGTACCAGTCTTTAGAGTCAATGGTTGCATTTATTTTCTTTTTCAGATCTTTTTCTTCTATTTTTCACCTGGTGATCCTGCTAGCACACTTCTGTTGTAGGGTAAAGGCTCTGAATTTCTGGCAGGATCAACAGGAAATTTTCTGTAGTTGTAGAATATGTACTTTACCTAAAATATAAAAACAAATGCAGCCATATCTAAGGAACTGATAAGCTGCAATATATAAAATGTTTGTTGCTAGGGTTAGATATACCATAATGTATAGAATTCATTTACGTAGTTGAAAAATATTCCGCCATTTTTACAGAGAACAATAAACTACTGGTACTATAATATTTTTTACTAGAACTATATTTTTGGAAAAATGTTGTTACCTTTTATATTTTTTGGGAGAGCATTTAAATGCAAAAGGGAAAGCTAACACAGACATGGAGAATGTAATAACTCTTTTCAGGCGCTATGGTCCAACACTGCTACATGCCAATCCACCGTGCTTCCATATTGTTTCCTTTTGGTAATATTTTAACATATGTGTCATTTATTACGTTTGATAATATATACTCTGATTAAATGTAAAATTACAAATATGCATAAAAACTTCTCTCTTTTTTTCTTTGTAGTTTGGATGGAAGAGAAATAATTTTAACTTACTCGCATCTGGAAGGTAACTGCTAAAAACAAATTAATAATAATAAATAAAAATATGTATATATAAATATATAAAAATTTTTTTTTGGGGGGGGGGGGGGGGGAGACATGTACTTAGTTTTGTCAGGTATCTACTCCCACTTTCCCACTTCTGCTGGAATCACCTAGGCTGGGGGTCGGCAACCTGTCGATCACTAGCCGATGATGGGAAGATCGTGTCCCTGCATGGAGATCCCGCTGTGAGAATACAGCAGAGCCGAACTCAGTAGCAGATACCTGAGCTGCACGGCTACACTACCCACACTGGCTCCTGCTCCTCCCCTCCTATCCATGCTGCCCATTTTCTAGGTCACATACAGGCGATCAGTATAGATGTAAGGGGCGGATTACCGGGAAAGCAAAGCACCAGAAAAGGCAGGTAAGCTAAGGACCCCTTGTTAGGGAAGGGCAAAATGATACTTTAAAAAAAGATGCAATACACTGCAGGAACAGATAAAACCCACTAAAAGAAGCTCATGTACCAAACTGTGCATATGAGCCAAGCACATTTTGCATGCATCTTGTCGTACAGAAAACACGCCAAAATGCATGGCTGCTACCTGTGTTTGGGGTGCCGTTAAGAAATAATGGCACCACAAGCACGCCGTGCATTTTAGCGCATTTGCAGAAACGCTCTTTTTTACCCATGTTCCTGTTAGTCTGAAGTGTGAACGGGCCAAAAAAAATACAACGCTGTACCCAGTTATCTTTGATTTCTTCCGTCTTGTTCAGATTGATATCAGTTTGCCGTCCCCTGGCCTTGACGATTCTTTCGAAAGAACCCCCCACCCCATCCTCCCTTACTTCTTGGGACATGTCACAGGTCCCATAAAGCCACGGGGCCTTCACAAACCACAGCTCACACCTTCGCATTGGGAGTCACAGCCAGTTTCCCACACTAAACCTGCCTGCACCGGGGACCCGAAGACTGGCGAAAGAAACAGCCCAGGTGAGGTCAGGGCTGGATCCCTGGACAAATAAGTGTCCTTTTATTAAAAGTCAACAGTTACAGTATTTGTAGCTGCTGAGTTTTATTTATTTATTTTTTTCCAGCTACTGAAGAACCTCTTTAAATTAGCAGGCTTTCTTCTTGCCTTGTGACCACTTCACTAAAGCCGCCCCTTTTAGCCAGTTGTTCGCCTTGCTGATGTCTTCATGTACAACGTAGGACCAACTGTCTTTCATTGTATGTGATGATGTTGAGGGCCAGGAGAAGGGAGAATAAGAGCACCAGCTGCCACAGGACTGAGATGTAAGGTAAGTATTTTTCTTTATTAAACCCCCCAGGCTAAATGAGCATTCAATTGTGTATTTGTGGGTGGAGAGAACCATTATTTATTTTTGGTGTAAGCTGGAAGTTGGGCATTATAATAACAAACAAACCTAAAAAAAAAAATCATTCAGAAATGTACCGTAAACCTGCAGTAACAACATTGTTTGCATTCTGACCTAGTGTGCATCTCTTATCTCTTTGCAGCCTAGCTGGTCATCTAATAGAATGTGGTGCCCAGTGCACTGGAGGAATATACACAGACTGGCATCTGGTACCAGATTGGTGAGAAATCTTAAAATATTTATATACATAGTCGATAAAAGTTTATTGCTATAAGATATTGCTACATAGAAAAAAATGATGTCATGACTTCCCAAGGTCATATAGTTAATTTCCTCGGATCAACTACTACTACTAGACTACTTTATGTGGTAAAGCATGTCACAGCTTAACTGTTAAGAACCCCTTCCTAAACAGGTGGAAAAATTATCATATCTATCCATTCAGTCGTATCCGACCCTTGGCGATTTGCATGGACCGTCACTCATAAGCGACTTTTTCCATGAATTTTTTTAGCAATTATTTTTACAGGGTAGATCTTTCCCCGGCCCCTACCATGCAGGAGATCCCTCATGGCCAGGGATGAAACTAGGACAATTTAGACAGGAGCCAATTAACCTACCAGCATGTCTTTGGAGTGTGGGAGGAAACCGGAGTACCCAGAAGAAACCCACGCAAGCACAGGGAGAACATGCAAACTCCATGCAGGAGGTGCATTGGTCGGGAATCGAACCCATGACCCATTTACTGCAAGGTAGACGTGCTAACCACTAAGCCACTGTGCCGCATATATATATATATATATATATATATTATATTAGTGCCGTGGTTGAAATTAGAACCAACGACTATATATCTAATATATATATACATAGTCGTTGGTTTGAATTTCAACCACGGCACCACCTGCCTGGAGTTTGCATGTTCTCCCGTTGCCTGCGTGGGTTTTCTCTGGGTATCTGAGTACTCTGGTTTCCTCCCACACTCCAAAGACATGCTGGTAGTTTAATTGGCTCCTGTCTAAATTGGTCCTACTATGGATAAGTATGAATGTGAGTTAGAGACCTTAGATTGTACTCCCCTTGAGGGTTAGGGACTGATGTGAATGTACTATATATATATAATATATATATATATATATATATATATATATACGGCACTACATAAGTACCTAAAAAAAAAAAAAAAAAAAAAAAATTATATATATATTTTTTTTTTTTTTTGGGGGGGGGGGGGGGGGGGGGAAAAATTTTGATGTGTGTGTATATGTATGAAAATTCTTTGTAAATTGAGGGAAATACTGCTTACAGACCGTTATCATAACCATATAAATTTGATTTTCCCATCTGTCTCTGTTTCCTGACAATAGCCAACAGGACAAAAAGAGAGGATTAACCTTCCCAGTAGGGATGCTGACTCTATTAAAAATTTTAGAAAAGGAAGAATTATAATTAATGCTTAGTGTATGGGACTGCAGACCTCGCAAATATCTGAATACAGGACACAAACAATTAAATAAAACAATAAGAAGTGTGCATATCTCCTTTTAAATACAATCAAAAAGTGAAACTAAACAAAAAAAAAAAAAAAATATATATATATATAAAAATCCAACAAAAATATAAACATTGCAAGTAATTCATATAAAGCATAAATGCATATGTGCCAATAAACGCAAAAAATTGTATCAAAAGTCAACCGGTGAATCAAGGTTGTTTCAGTGACATTTCAACAAATTTTAAGTGCTTCCAGTTTTCAGATGCCGCTCCCCCCCATGTACAGCCTCTTACCAGAGAAAGATCACAAAGCGCTTTGTATAATGCTGAGGGTAAGGCACTCGCATTTCATTAGGAACAAACAAAATGGTACGAGTATACACAGCGCCACCGCGGGCCCAGCCCACCCAGAGCTGCTCTGTGACGTCATCATGCACGCACGCCAGCCAGTCCTGCACTGTTGCTGTGTATACTTGTACAATTTGTTTGTTCCTACTGAAATGTGACTACATTACTTTTTTTGAATAAATCAGTGCTTTTAAGCTGTATTTCATTTTGAGACTTCTCCTTTATTTCATTTGGGCAATACCTGTGAATTGGAGTGTTAGTTAATGAGACAGTTACCCTTGGTTGTTATCATACTGGCGCTGGCTGGTAAGAGGCTGTGCATGGGGGAGCAGCACCTGAATACTGGAAGCATTGGAATTTGTTGAAATGTCACTCAAAGCACCTTGATTCATAGTAATAAAACTTTGGCAGGGTAATAATTGCCACCTGTTTTTCAAAGAATGAATGACCTCAGTAATAGAACTCCACACTGCTATTATTTTGAACATGCCCCTTTCAATTAGTGATTCAATTACACAGAATCAGCAGCATGCATGTCATGACTGTTGGGTCTGTTGGATTTCTATTACTCTACTACACCTGCTAGTAAATTATTTGCCATGTAGAAAAATATAATTTCTACCAAAAACAGTGATTGATCAGGTTAGTGATGTCTGACTGCTATTTTGTACACAACTGTATAAATCCAAAAAGTTCCTTGTCTACATAGTAATTGAAAACGTTCAGCTGTAGTGTATTTTTCAGATATGGAATCAATTATCCATACCTGGAGACCTAGACTCGATTTTTTGGTGGTACTCAGAAAAATGGTGTGGAACACTGCGTTTGGGATTACCATTCTGCACAAAACGTCGGTGCTCTCCGAACCTTTTTCTGAGTGTTTTTATGGTTCGGCTGACGTATAGCAAACCACAGGGACAGGAGAGACAATATACCGCATAGGTCGAGAAACAATCGAAAAAAGAATTGACGGAGAAAGTTTTCCCATTGGAGTGGAAGGTTTTTTTTTTTTTTTCTTATATTCCTACAGAGTCTGCTTCAGTCTATGGGGAGCTGCTGCCGCTAGTGCTTACGCCATGGACTTTATGGACTTATTTTAAATGTGTGTTTTTAAATTCACGTGTTTTACTAATTTATGTGTTGTAATACTACTAGGCTATTATCTTCTCTCAGCGCCAAATTCCCACATTATATAGGATTTATATAGTGCCAACAGTTTGTGCAGCACTTTACAAAATGAAGGTACACATTACAGTTACAATACAGTTTGGTACAAGAGGAAACAGAGGGCCCTGCTCGTTAGAGCTTACAATCTAGGAGGAAGGGTTGTGTGATACAAAAGGTAATAGCTGTGGGGGGATGAGCTGATGGAGTAAATAAATGGCAGTTTACTATTTAGAAGCAGGATAGGTTTCTTTAAAAAAGGTTTTCAGACATCGTCTAAAGGTGGATAGATTAGGAGTTAGCCGGACAGATTGGGGTAGGGAGTTCCATAGGAGAGGAGAAGCTTGGGAGAAGTCCTGGAGGTGAGCATGGGAGGAGGTGACACAGGAACTAGAGAGCAGAAGGTCTTGGAAGGATCGAAGAAGAGAGCGGTTTGGTTGATATTTTGAGACCAGGTTGGTGATGTAGCTGGGGGCAGAGTTGTGGATGGCTTTGTAAGTTGTTGTTAGTATTTTTAATTGTATTCGTTGGAAGCCAGTGGAGGGATTGGCAGAGAGGGGTAGCAGACACTGAACGGTTGGTAAGGTGGATGAGCCTGGCAGCAGTATTCATGATGGACTGGAGGGGGGATAGTCTATGGTAAGGTAAGACAATGAAGAGGGAGTTGCAGTAGTCGAGGCGAGAGAGAACTAGGGAGTGAATTAGGAGCTTTGTGGTATCATTGGTTAAAAAGGGACGTATTCTGGAAATGTTGCAGAGGTTGAGGCAGCATGATTTGGACAAGGATTGGATGTGGGCCTGAAAGGGTAGTTCTGAATCCAGGGTTACCCCTGGCATGCAGGGATGGGTTGATAGTGGTGCTGTTGACCCTGACCAAGAAATCAGGGGAAGAGGCACGTGGGGGAGGAAATATTATGAGGTCAATTTTGGATAGATTGAATTTTAGGAAGTGGTGTTACATCCAGTCTGATATGTCTGTTAGTAAATCGGTGATACATGAGGAAACCGATGGGGTTAGCTGAGGAGTAGAGAGATTAGTGTGTCATAAGCATAGAAATGGTATTGGAAACCATGGGAAGCTATCGGCTGGCCCAAGGAAGAAGTGTAGATCGAGAATAGGAGAGGTCCAAGGACAGAACCTTGGTGGACCCCGACAGTAAGAGGAGTAGGAGAGGAGGAAGTAAGTGACACTGAAGGTGCAGTGAGATAGATTAGGTTCGAACCAACGGAGAGTACAGTCACGGAGACCAAGTAAATAGAGTTTTTGAGGTGGAGGAGGTGGTCAACTGTGTCAAAGGCAGCGGAGAGGTCCAAGAGTACGGAATAGTTAGTCGTTTGTGAGTTTTAGGATAGCAGTTTTGGTGGAGTGTTGTGGGCAAAATCCAGACTGAAGCGGATGCAGAAGGTTATTCTCAATAAGGTGGCAGTTCAGCCGGTTGTAGACTAGAAGTTCAAGGAGTTTGGTGGCAAAAGGGAGTAAGGAGATGGGTCTTAGGTTGCTAAGATGGGTGGGGTCCAGTGAGGCCTTTTTAAGTATGGGGGGTGAAAGAATGAAGGATAGAGCCAAAGGGTGATAGTAGTATTTGCGAGGGAACTGGGTCCAGGGGACAGGTGGTTAGGTGAGCTTTAGAAAAAAATTTACCAACCTCCTCTATAGTAGCTGGGTTAAACAAGGGAAGTATAGATTGTGCAGGTGGACAAGGAGTGTAGGGTGAGGGATATCTGTACAGTGGAGATCTCGACATGAATTGTATCAATATTATTTTTGAAGTGATTCGCGATTAGCGATCTCCTGGGCAGCGAGTGAGTTAGTGGGTAGAGGTAAAGAAGGACAAAGTAGAGAGTTAAAGGTAGAAAAGAGTTGACTGGGATTGTGTGAGAGGGTGTTAATGAGTGATAAAAATAGGTCTGTTTAGCGGTGTGGAGACAAGAATTTCTGAAGGGCAGATTTATATTGGTCAAAGTCTTGCTGGGTCTTAGTCTTACGTCATAAACGCTCAAGAGCACGGCTACGTTTTTTGAGGCATTGTCTGTTTGCCAGGGCTGTAGCGGTCGGGGCCTAATTCTGTGTGTAGTGAGGGCGGCCAATGTGTCCACGGTGGATGACAGTTAACTGTTGTATACAGAAGAGGCCAGGTTGGGGCAGGACAGGGCTGAGAGTTTGTCATAGAGGCAATCTTTTGCCGAAAAAAATAAGAGAAGGGTTAAGATAGC